CTCGGACTTTTATAAATCTCAAGAAGAGATGATAAAGTTGAAGAATGGTTGACAGCAGAAAATGATCTGGTATAATCAAACAAACATATGGACAAGGAATCACCACTGTACCATGTTTTAAAGAGAAAAAGTGAGAAGGTAACTAACCCTGGCCTCACCTTCTTCTCACAACAGCTCACAAGATTCATCTTTCTCAAATTTATAAGCGCTGTCCCTTCCTAAAAACAGAGTCATTGTGAGATGAGCATGTCCAGACTGCAATTGCAAGGGCCCCTTATTTGTACCATGAGGAGGCATACAGAATGTAGAAGGTTGGGTTTTTGACATTGTTGAATATCTTGACACAAAACAAAAACAACGTTAATTTTCATAGACGGCATAAAAAAATTAAGAGTAAGAAAGAGGGTTCAGTTTGGCATAATTCCAATCTAGTTTATACATGTTATAGCTGTTACAATAATCTAAATTTGCTTCTGAGGATGTGATCATGTCACACATACAACAGCACCAGTGAATGGATTTTTTTTTAACTAAATGTCATATACATGGAATCTCAATGTTTTCCTTGAAGTGGTTGAGTGATTTATCTCAACAGACTTCTGCACCTAGGAATTTCTTTATTCAGAGGTTCTCAAAGGTTCTCAAAGGAAGCAGTTTAATGCAAACTCTCAATATGTCACATTTTGGCAGTGATTGCTTAATGCAGCAGTGCACTAATGAATTGCTCCACTGCATCCTCTGATCATGAATATGAATCGGAGTACTATAAACTGAACTCAATGTACTGATAAGTGACTACATCTGATTGTGCCAGCAGCCAGATGATTTCCTCATTAATGAGCTGAACTATTAAAAGATGGAAGAATATGAAGCCAATCCAGCATTGCCCGAGCTTCTTTGCTGACATTTTTCTAGGCCTACCATAAACCTTTGTCAACCAGTGAAACTAAATTCACCCCCCAAAATCTTTTATGAATGAAGTTAAGACAAATAAAAGCTTCAAGGTTCAAATTCTGTTTCTGCTTACATGGAGGTGACTCCTTTGTGGTTGTAGAGTTTCTATTTTAATATGGGATAACAAAGATTTTGATAGTAAGAAATTATGCTCATCCTCTCTTTTTCAGTCCCTGCTGTTCCGAGCATAGCAGCCCATGGTTGCCAGTAAAAGACAGAGATCCTCATCTTTCTAACAAACTCGACTGTGCAGAACTTTTGAATTTATTAAACTGAGGACTACAGATTTATAGAAGGCACATTGCAAACACATCCTTTGGAATAACAGTAAGCTGCTAGAAATATTTTTTATGTTTTCAGAGTCTTATTCAACGTAAAGTATTTGTAAATAAAAATCCATTATTGTTTGCAAGCATCGACATCTTGCTTTGCAGTTTAAATATGGCCCCATCTCACCTGGAAGCACGTTCTGTGCAAGTCCAGAATGAGGCATCTGGGTCAGTTGCAGAGCCCCTAATAATTCCAGATCTCTGCTCCTACACAAATGTGAAGTGTGGCTTATTTGGAAAAAAAAAAGTAAAACAAACAAACAAAAAAATAAAATTAAAAAAAAATAATTAAAAAAACCTCTGTTTCTTGAAAGCTCCAGTACTGGACCAGAAAAGTAAAGGGCATATCTGCGGTCACCACTACTAAGGCAAATCTGCCTCTAGAGGGCATTGCAAGCTAAATGTTTTCTCTGACAAGTGTTGAGAACATCTTGGATCAACCCAGAAGGCAGTTCTTAAATTACTTAAATTAAGAGATTTTTCTGTGTTTACATCATCAGCTATGTAGCAGTCAAACAAAGCTATTGGGCAGCAACAGTGAAAGACCCTTAATCCATTGAGTAACAGCACGTAGGTTTGGCAAGAAAAGATGTTACCAGACATTTCCTGATATCCCTGAAACATCTTATGATGTGAGTTTTGAAGAACTTTTAGCACATAGCTGTTCCCTTTTAATGGCTCTGCCTGTATCTTTCTATGAGCGCTGCCATCCCCACTGGTGGTTAAATCCAAAACTCATTGGTCATCAGCAAAGAGGTGCAAAGAGGCTTTGAACCCTTAGCACCTGGCATGTAGGCCAGAGCACCTGATACAGAAAAAGATAACATTAATATTTGACTCTCTCAAGATCCATAATCTACACAAATTGCTCAGACATAAGTGGACATCAAAGTATTATGTTCCAGGCTTTTTGTATGTTAGACAAAAATATCTAAGTGACATATTAGAGATACTTTGTTAGTGAGTATGATGAGTTCTTCCCAGTATGTGCTGCTTCCTAAAGGTATTGTTAAGCCTCTTCAGCCATGCAGTATGAAAAAGTCCAACGTTATTTTTTTCCCCTCTGTACACGGGTACTAAATCAGTTCAAATTACAAAAACTACTCCTGTTTCTGCTGCTGAAAAGCAAGGAACACACTTGTCTTTGTATTGCTGCATGCTGAAGGCCATATTTTGTTATTCCAGAAAACAGCAACCAGGACTGAAATACATTCAGAGGGACAATTAGAGTAATTATGCTTCTTTTTCTGAAGACTAATATGGAGTTTCTTACATTTGTCTATTTTCCTACCATCACAGTGATTCTTTTTGATTTTCAGATACTGCTGTGACAATTTTCCTAAATGTCCAAGAGGCTACATATCTTGTAGACTCACAAAGATCCAGGAATCCCCCACAAATTTTCAGAGTACTCATTTCCTGGTGCCTCTATCTATACCCATTCTGCATGTTAAGATTTTGTAGTGTGCAAATGGATTTTAACATCTCCTATAAAACAGAAAAATCTTTTCTGAAGTACACACAATTTGGTATTACAATGCCATAAACCCAACAATTTTGTTGATGAGGAAAACCTAGAGTAAGTAAAATATTAAAACGCATTAGTCAAATATTAGAAAAAGCAATTTGATAATTAAAACTGATATGGTAAACTATATCAATAAGAAAGTTGAACACAATCAGTGTTTATACTGATAGACAGCTGGTTATGTAATGACATCATCAAAATTTTTACTGTCTTGTTCACTGTATTATTGTAGTTAATTAAAATATCAAAATTTTAGCTTTAACTGGCTTTAGATAAAAACTGTAAGTTTGCTACATGCAAACATTTTGATTTAAGCAAAGCAGCAAAACAAAATGTTCTTTGCCAGACAGACACATTCACTTGCTTGCCACAGGAAGTTACCAAATGGAAGTGGTAGTCTATTCCCGGGTCACAGAAATTAGGTCTACCCCAGTACTAAAATGTATCTTTTATTTCCTTTCCTATACACTGCAGAGTTGCTAACATTCACTTTCAAACTACTTTTTTAATTGTCCATGATGCTCAATTCCTCTGCTTAACAAAAAACTACTGGTGTGTTCCGTGCTATAATATAATTAATTCTGAGCTGCCTTTGTGATCAAAATAGTCCAACATACTGTAGGTTTCCCAGGACTAGGTTCTTAAATTATTCCTAGCTGTTCCTTTTAATGTTGGGAGTTTTCTCCATTAGCCTCACCGTATACACAAAAAATGTAGAGGCAGGTTCTCCAGTCCAAGCTCACAAAGGCTCCTGGATTTAGCAGCATTTGCTTGGGAGTTAAAACTAAAGAAGTCTAAACTAAAATCCAGCTAAAGTTTCTGAGATGAATATGCTTTTATATTTAAAAACATATTCAAGCTACTTCTCTGTCAGCCCTTTTCATACGTTTATATGCTATTTATGAGAGCAATAAAAATAATAAAAAGTCTCTACATAATGAAAGAGTTGGTAAAGGTCCCTCTAGAATAATTATTAAATGGTTAGTGTAAATGTAGTGAATAAGTGCTTCATGCACTTAATGAGAAATAAAAGAATTCTTGGATTTTAGTGTGGCCACACAAAATAGTTTGGATGCTACATGCTCATGAACGACATAAATTCTGTTTGAACTCCAGATAAAGGTAAGAATTGGATTCCCTATGACATACAATTGGCAAAAGAAGCCCAAACCCCAAACCTCATAGGTAATATATTTGTTACTTTATTAATTTTGTGGATGTTTATTCATCCAATAAAATAATCAGACCTGGTTTTGTGTGAGAAAGTTTCTGGCAAGCAGCTATCTGCTTAGAAACAGAAAAGTCTGGGTTTTTTTCATAAGAGGAGGAAAGGTGTGTATGTATCAAACAATTACAATTAGAAGTGTTGGTTTTAACCTCCATCTGTGCACTGGACCCTCAGCTATGAGCACTTCTGCCAGTGCAGTACAGGCTGCAAGGTAGGTTTTGTTTTGTTCTGGGGTCAGAGATACTGAAAGGAAGAAAGAGAAAGAAAGATTAATCTGATAAAGGCATTGCCATTTCTAATCGGACTGATGGGAAACTGTGGTATGAAGTTAAAGAGGCAACACAGGGTGAATTACTGTGATGAACTGCCTTAAAGCTGAAGCAATCAAATAGATAGCTCTCACATATAAAAATTACTGTGCCATCTTTATTCATCAACAGTTTTGCACAAGTGTCTCATGTTCAATCCCTTTCAGGAACAACTAAAGCACTCTGATACATTGGATCAGATTAAATCTTATCAGCCACTGAGGTGGCTGCTTTCTGCTTCCCAGAGTTAATTCTCATTGCCATGCAGAATAAACTTTTTAAAGCTTGAAAATAACAAACTTCAAAAAGTAGTACCAGTACAGTCCAGTGCCTGCACTCACAACCTGCTGGAACGGAATTGAAAGGGCTTTTACTGTGGTGTGTGATAGCAGGAAAACTTTTTCACAGCCTGATAGCTGAAAATCTATGGAAGGGAAATTTGTAACTCCTACTTCATGGAATCATAGAATGGTTTGGGTTGGAAGGGAGCCTAAGTTTGTCTGTTTCCAAGCCCCCGGCCATGAGCAGGAGCACCTTTCACTAGACCCAATTCAGAAAGTATTCACAAAAACAGACATCTCTTCAAGGTTTTCTGCACAGCTGTAGTGCACAGAAGAATCACATAACAAAATTCAGTAATAAAAAGCCTACCATGAACCACAGATAAACAGATATATTTGATTCAAATACAGTCAAATGATATGAAAAGCAAATAAGTTATCATAGAGAATTCAGCATAAAACTCCTGTAAAATTCACTCACATAATTTTAAGAATTAGCTTATGATTTGCTCTTTAGATATGCTGAGGTCTTCTCATGATGTTGAATTCCTTGAGTCTTTTGAAGTGGATGGGCTCTGAGGATACTCACTATTTTGCAGGATTGCTTGCTAGTGAACAGAGCAAACTAGTATCAGTTTTGTGTCATCAAATGTGTTCTTCTTGCCAAGCATCACATGATTATGGCCTCACTTAACACAGGACTAGGAGTAAATACACAGGTAGTGATAAAGAAAATTAAGTGGATATAGAAAAACTGATCTAATAATAAGGCATAGATGTTGTCAGAACTTTGTTTTTTCAACACTAAAGTTCTACCACCCACAGAAGTGCTAAAAGGATTTAAAATAGTATCTTCCATGTAAATGCCTATCCTGCACTTCTGAAGACACGAATCCGTAGCTAAAAAGGATGCCTAATAACACTGAAAATGATGAACAGCAGCGATGAAGCAGATACATTTATAGGTGGGAGGAAAAAACCAGATGTAAATTTTAAACTTTCTTCTTTTTTTAAACTCATTTACAAATCTGTAACAAATAAATGTGATTCCAAGTATTTCACTTGATGACTCTGGTTTTCTATCCTAAATTATTTATGTTAAATAAAATATAGCATTTTCAGAAATCATTTTCTTAAGCTAATTTTTTTAAAAAAAAACACACAAAAAATTTTTTTATAAATCCTGGAAGCCATATCGCTTAAAGATCAAGCAAAATCAATTAACGTTACATAGGAAGACTACTTTATGGGACATTCAGTCAACATGCTTCTGTGCATTTGCTGAAATACATTTATTGATTACTTTTCAGGTGCCTTGTGTAGTTTCGAGGACGGACAACTACGCTATTTGCCCAGCGCGGGAGTAAGTTTTTCCAAACTTTTCGAAGAGAAAAATAGATGGCACCACTGTTCGAAAGTCCTAAAGAAATAAGAGAGACAAAAAAATGTTAAGTTTGGCTTAAATGGATTTAACATTTTTTAAGGTATTTTAGAGTATATTGTCTTCTAGATACATTTCATTATATCAGTTGGAATTCAAATTATGCAAAATAACAAATATGAAACAGATATTTTTTACATTATCACAGAATCAGAGAATATGCCGAGTTGGAAGGGACCCACAAGGATCATTGAGTACAATTCCTGGCCCTGCACAGGACCATCCCCAAGAATCACACTAAGTGCATGAGAATATTGTCCAAACGCTTCTTGAACTCTCTCAGGCTTTGTGCTGGGACCACCTCCCTGGGGACCCTGTTCCAGCTCCCAGCCACCCTCTGGGGGAACAATCATTTTCTAATATCCACCCTAAACCTCCCCTGACACAACTTCAGGCCATTTCCTCAGGTCCTGTCACTGATCACCACAGAGAAGAGATCGGTGTCTGCCCCTCCTCTTCCCCTCATCAGGAAGTTGTAGATTGCAGTGAGGTCTCCCCTCAGTCTCCTCCAGGCAGAACAGATCAAGTGACCTCAGATGCTCCTCATACATCTTTCCCTCAAGGCCCTTCACCATCTTCATTGCCCTCCTTTGGACACTCTCTAATAGCTTAATACCTTTCTTACATTGTGGTGCCCAATATTGCACACAGTATTCAAGGTGAGGCTGCCCCAGTGCAGAGCAGAGCAGGACAATCCCCTCTCTCAACCGGTTGGAGATGTTTTGCATGATGTCCCCCCGGACAGAGTTGGCCCTCCTGGCTGTCAGGGCACTGCTGACTCAGATTCAACTTGCTGGCAACCAGGACCCCCAGGTCCCTTTCCATGGCACTGCCTTCCAGCACCTCATTCCCCAGTTTGTCCGTACATCTGGGGTTGCCCCACCCCAGGTGCAGAATCCAGCACTTTCCCGTGTTGAACCTCATGGTTGGTGATTGCCCAGTCCTCTCATTTGCCAAGGTCTCTCTGCAGGGCCTCCCTGCCTTCAAGGGAGTCAAGAGCTCCTCTGAGTCTTGTGTCATCTGCAAACTTTCTTATTATCCCTTCCAGACCTGCATCCAAGGCATTTATGAAGATGTTGTATGAATTTTGCTTTGAAGAAGAGCACAAGAATTTATTTAATTGAAAGCAAATATGTATTTCAAACTCTCAGCAACTGTAAGTACTGCAAAAATTTCCTTCTCTAGAAATTAGATTTTATAGTCTTTTGCAAATTATGGTATTCAAAAGTGTATTATCCTCCTTGGCAACCAGGCAGGTTAAAGACAGCAAGAAAATCATGCTATATTTTAACTTTTCTACCTTGGTTAACATTAAAATATGGATATTAAAGCAGCTCCATATGAAATGGTAAAAAATAAATATATATAAAATATGTATTAGTGAAACAAATTGATTAGGAGTCCTGGTAGAAAAAAATACAAGCAGGGTGACTCCTGAACACCTTTTTTTCTAGGCAAAGTTCATGGCTATTACATTCAATTTTTTAAAATGCAAATGCTTACAAATCTAAATTGAATAAGAGAAATGCAAGAGACCCTGTGCCTTAAGAGTACAATGTCAATTCAGAAAACAAACAAGAAAGTAAAATAAACTAAGTATTCTAACTGATTTTGATTTTGCTACTTACTAATAAATGCCCATGGTAAATTATTAGCAAGTCCATGCCTATTTAAGATCAAGGTTTTAAAGTATTTTTAATAAAATTATTTTCTTGGACTGTGAAATAATGAGAATAATATAACAATAGAAAATACTTGGTTTGTATTAAAATTGTTTTTCCTTTCAGAAAGTAACCTGCCACAGATGAACTCTCAGCTTTCCAAGATCTGATGATACATTTTTAAGAAGTTGGTCTGAGCACATCCTACTGTTTTCTATTGTCAGCATAGCGCTCTGCAAAAGTGCATGGAACTGCACCATCTTGATAATGTGTCTGAGGCCATGTGTGAATGAAAGCCAAAATTTTTACCTTTTCAATGCATTTCCCAATTTGAAAGGTTTAATTTTTTCTTAAAAAGAGAATGAAAACTCTTTTTTTTTTTTTTTTAATTACATGAAGCCAAATTATTATTCTCTGGATAATCTGGATTTAGCTACTTCACAGATCACTGTTCAGCTCCACCTCCATAAACAGAGCAATTCTGACTTCTGGTAAGCTTCATGTAAACACTGACAGGGCCCACTTGAGTTTCATCTGCATTGCATGTTGCCAAACTGTGACCATATAATTTCTTATATCTCATACTTAAATTTGTTTGGTATGATTCTCCCAAAATTCTGGTGCAGAAATCTAAAAATAGCAAAGTAGAGATATACATTCAAAATTAAATACTCCCTGTGTGGGGTGAAAGTGAGTACTGTCCCATTCTTAAATGATTCACAAGATTTACTTTTCAATGTTTCTCTATGTCTTGTACTGACCAATTTCTTCCTCAACAGAAACAGTTTATTTGCACATTTTCATATTAAGCTTTAAGAATGGCACAGTATTTTATTTGTCACTGTCTTTTTGGCATCACAAGCACCTTCTTACTGAAGGAAAAGCTGTTCACATAATTATTATAAAAATATGATAGTATCTCCAACACGGCTGCAAATGGTTTTCTTCTAAAGTGAAGCTAGTTATACTTAATTCAGTAAATTAACCAGATTAATACTGTTCATGAGAATGGAAAAACAACAAACTATTTACTAGTTGCTGAGAAAGCAAGCAGATAATCCAGCAATAATTTAGAATTAAGCAGTAATTCAGAGCAGAATACATTATCCTCTATTTTTAAAATAGCAAGTATATTTTGAATTTACATGCCAGACAGTTAGGTACAGTTTAAAAAATAGTGAACAGTTTAACAAGTGGTGAACTTGGGGTGAGACAGGGAAACCAGTAAAAAGTGTGCACCCCCCCATATCAGGATAAAATCAGGAATAGTAAACCTGAGCATTGAAGAAATCTTCATTTGCTGGAGCAGACGGCTTTTGCTATTAGGATGCCTGGCCAAACAAAAACAATTGGCTGCCAAAATTAGCTCCTTGGGACGATTTAGAAGCCTTTGAAGTGAATAGTGTTTTTGAGCTGGAACTAAGCCCAGGTCGAGCTTCAAACTCAAATCAAAATGACAAAGAGGAAATTTTCTGTGCCACACGCCCCCTCAGTGTAAGATTACTTTGGTTTGGCAGCTGTACTGTTTATCTTGTTATTTAAAACTATTTCACTAGATACTCACAACTGAGCATTTAAACAACTGGCTCCTATTATGACGACAGCAGTTATGTTTGACCACATTTAGAAAATATTACAGAATCTGATGGATAAATAAAAGCATTGCTGGCTTTAGATTAATTAAAGAAGTTTAGAATATAAACTAGATAAGTGCTGCACAGTATGTATATAAAAAATAAATATCTTTTTAGGAAAATAACCTGATGTTTCTGTATTTGTAGACACAGATTTTAATCAGGTTTCAACAATGAGATAAAGTAAGGCCTGAAAATACCACCTGGCCTTGCAAGATCTGCCTCACAGCATTGAAGAGAGTCTATGACACTGTTCCATAAAGGCAAAGGAATTGGAAGCCAGGTTCTCATGTCTACCTATTTTGATGGTGAAATGACAGTTCAAAATGTACAGTGAAGCACCACGACGCACTGCTCATTGATTCTGGCAGGCTGCCAGGATCATCTTGAATTTAATCTGGTTGCTACATAGCACAGAAGGTACGAAGTTATGTAGATAATCCTTTTGAAGAACAAAGGTTGTGAGTGGAGAAAAACAGGCTTCTTCAAAATTATTTTCACCATCAGTCCCTCATTGTTGGTAGTTGAAACTAATAAGCTTACAAATATAAATTCACACATATTGATGAGACTGACCCCATTGGTTTTGCAGTCTCAGGATCACAGAAACATAGACCTGAGCTTTATGGAATTTTTCCACAATGCATTCTTAAACCATGCAACCTGTCACTAGTGGGGTTCTGTGGTGCTCCATCTTAGGCCCTGTGTTCTCCAACATCTTCATAAATGACTTGGATGCAGGTCTGGAAGGGATAATAAAAAAGTTTGCAGATGGCACAAGACTCAGAGGAGCTCTTGACTCCCTTGAAGGCAGGGAGGCTCTGAAGAGAGACCTTGGCAAGTTAGAGGACTGGGCAATCACCAACCATATGAGGTTCAACACGGGAAAGTGCTGGATTCTGCACCTGGGGTGGGGCAACCCCAGATGTACGGACAGACTGGGGAATGAGGTGCTGGAAGGCAGTGCCATGGAAAGGGACCTGGGGGTCCTGGTTGCCAGCAAGTTGAATCTGAGTCAGCAGTGCCCTGACAGCCAGGAGGGCCAACTCTGTCCGGGGGGACATCATGCAAAACATTGCCCGGCGGTTGAGAGAGAGGATTGTCCTGCTCTGCTCTGCACTGGGGCAGCCTCACCTTGAATACTGTGTGCAATATTGAGCACCACAATGTAAGAAAGGTATTAAGCTATTAGAGAGTGTCCAAAGGAGGGCAATGAAGATGGTGAAGGGCCTTGAGGGAAAGCCATATAGGGGGTGGCTGAGGTCACTTGATCTGTTCCGCCTGGAGAAGAAGAGACTGAGGGCAGACCTTATTGCAGTTACAACTTCCTGATGAGGGGAAGAGGAGGGGTAGACACCGATCTCTTCTCTGTGGTGACCAGTGACAGGACCTGAGGAAATGGCCTGAAGTTGTGTCAGGGGAGGTTTAGGGTGGATATTAGAAAATGATTGTTCCCCCAGAGGGTGACTGGGAGCTGGAACAGGGTCCCCAGGGAGGTGGTCCCAGCACAAAGCCTGAGAGAGTTCAAGAAGCATTTGGACAATATTCTCATGCACTTAGTGTGATTCTTGGGGATGGTCCTGTGCAGGGCCAGGAGTTGTACTCAATGATCCTTGTGGGTCCCTTCCAATTCGGCGTATTCTGTGATCATTCTCAGCATCAGAGACCCGTAGTTCTCAGGACC